GTGTTTTGTGGTATATAGATTACACCTTAAAACTGTTCCCCCAAAAAAGACCCACAGAATTCAGCAAGTTGAGAACATGGGTTACTGCAGTAAAGGGCAGTCTTAATGGGATGATGGTGATGAGCATCTAATCTGCCTGGGTTTATATGAAAACTTGCTAATTGAGGACACCAGAAATTAGAAATCTCAGTGAGTATTGATGGAAAGGCGTTGTAGCTCGTAGAGGAGGCAGGATTGGAAACGCTTTCGTTTTTTTAAAGAAGCAACAGTATGTCAGTATACTGTAGGAAACATCCAATGAAACCGGAATGTCATCCACGGGGCGACGGTGGCTGTGTCACCCCACTGGAGCGAGGTCATGTGCAGTGCTGTCGCTTGGTAGGAGACAGTGCACGGATGTGGGTGCAGAGGCGCACGGACGCCTGCCCCGGTCACCTGTGCACAGCACAGCTTGTTTCTGAAAGTTGTGGAAACATGAAAGCCCAACATCGGGGCGCTAACTCTCCGAGAGGCCTTCTCTCCACTCCGAGGCTGCTCTCCATGGTTGCTCCGTGAGGCATGAGGGCCAGTGTCTCTGGGGCCTCTTCTCTAAGGGCAGTGCCCCTTCTGCAGGGCTCTCCCTGCAGCCCAGTGACTCCTAAGGAGCTAACGGTGCATTTTGCCGCCGTAGACTGTGGTCAGTATGTGAATGTGAGAAAATGCAGGGGTGCACCCTGCAAGTGGCAGTGTCTCTTTCGAGCTGAGAGTGAAGATGAAGAGATACTGTAGGCCTGGAGAAAAACTTAAGCTTAGGGGGCATGGAGGCAGGATCGCTGGAGCAGAGAGGGCCTCGTCACTGCAAGGCCTGGGTGTTAGCGTGCAGTGACTAGGGTTGGATGGGCAGCAGCAGCAGTGAGGGCTTTGGGAGACGTCATCTGCTGGCTTGTTGAGGTCAGCAGTGCGTGTGTGAGAGATCGCCACCTCGTGCTGGAGGCCTTGCCAGACATCAGGTGGCTCAGCCCTGTATGCAGCCCATCTGCATCCTCAGCGCTCTTCTAGAGGCCTTGGCTGGCCCATGGCTCCCCACCACACCCTTGGTGCCTCCCTGGCTGTTCTCTTGGTGGAGTTTCCCTGGTGAAGACACTCGACTCACAGTTGGGTGAAAAGCTCAGAAAAATCCTTCAATGACAGCCTTCAGGGCAATAGTAATGAAATGTTTCACTTGAAAATTACTTGTGAATAGACTGCACCACCTCTGTAGTCACATGTAAATTAGATGCTAATGTAGCTTTAGCTGGGAGGATTGGGGGAGGATCCCAGGGTGGGCTGAGGAGTGCCCTCTGCGCTGCTCCTAGGAGAACCTGAAACCTGTGCAGAGCAATTACAGCAGTACCAGTCCTAGGCTCTCTTTGGTTCCATAATGTCAGAAAGGCTTAGTCTTTATTTTAAATTCATCTTAACTAGGGATAACAGCTTCTTTTCCTATTGCTGTTTTTTTCTCCTAGTTGTTTCTATCAAGTAGTTAAATCTTTAAATGACCACAAGTTCTTATTTTTAAAAGCCCAGCAGCACATTTTTAATGCAGAAATCATTCTTGAATATAACTTTAAAGTCAGAATGGATAAGAGACTGTCTAGTTAAAACAGGAGAATTTTGAGGAGAACACAAAATCAAAGAATTTCCTCAGGTCCTGCACTTAGCTGCCTTTGTGGCCCAGGTCGAGCTTGACACTGACCTTAGCAGGCTTCCCTGGGTGGTGCTGGCACCAGTCAGGTGACTTGTGAATGCACGCTATCCTGTGCATCGCAAGGCAAGTGACAGCAGCCAGGCCGTGGCGATGCCTCCCAAGGGCAGCCCTGAGAACCCCCAATGCCACATGCACACCTCCATGTGAGTGCAGCTGCCTCCCTGAGTGTGGGTCATGCTCTAAAGTGGTCTCAGGGTAGCGAAAGGAGCAGGGCCCAGGTTACACTGTGTCACCTCTCTGGTGGACATTCCACATACCCTCTAATGGTGCTTTGTTTTCCACCAGTGAAGGGCAGCAGAGAGTGCACTCACACACAGGCTTGTTGTGTTGCTGGGTGTTGTGGCTGTAGGGCTGACTTTTGGGGTATTTGCAGTGTACCAGACAGCTTATAGATCGAAAAAGACCCTAAATACTGTGTAGGTGGTCTTGTTTAAAAAAAAAATTGCCCAAGAGCCTGTATATAAACTTTTTATTTATTGATGAGTTATTTTAATTTTATATATACTTTATTTATTTGCTGTTTTTTATGTATTGGTGTCCCGGGGATTGGACCTAGGACTTTTTTTTACTTTTTCTTTTGAGACAGTCTTGGTAAGATGCTAAGTAGCTCAAACTGAGCTCAAACTTGTGTGTTTTTTCTAACTCAGCCTCCCTGCATGTTGGAATTACAGGTGTGCACGATGATGCCCTGCTAATAAAATTTTAATTTTATAGTTTATATTCTCAAAATATTGTCTATTTCCCAAACTATTTTATCTTTTTAAACTAAAAATAATTTAAATGCTTGAAATTTTAAAGGTAAAAACCTAGAGTTCTATTAATTATTTTTTGTGTTACTTATACTGTGATGACTTGAAAGTGAAATCATAAAATCTCAAGATAGATCATTTTAATATGCAAATTCTCAAAAATTTGAATATTAGGCAAAATATAGTATACATAATTAAAAATATGCTGCTTTCAAGCAGTTTCAGAAACACATGCTCGGATCCACCAAACCTCTGTTAAATGTCGGGCACCTTAGTACAGAGACCTGGTCCCCTCTGCGGCTGGGCTTCCTTCTCACCAACTACTTGTTTGGGGTTTTTTGTTTGTTTTTTGGGGTTTTTTTGCAAGATGGTGTGGGACATCGGGAGTCAAACTCAGGACCTCATGCTTGCCAGGCAGGCACTTTACCACTGAGCTGTAGACCTGGCTCCCTTTACCAATTTTTAACTAAACTAATGAAAACACATACTCACATACATAGAGTAAACACCCTCAAAATTAAAAACTGTTAATAGCAAATCTAAAATTTCAAACAAAAATACTCATTTCAGCAAAGTATACAATATATATTTTGTTTTTAAGAGGGTCTTGCTATGTAGTTCAGAGTGGCCCTACATTCACTATAACCCAGCCTAGCCTCCAACTCATGGCAATCCACCTGCCTCGACCTGCACAGCACTGAGATTTCGGTGTCCACCACCTCACATGGCTTGTTATTATAGGTATTCATACGAGGAAATGTGTGAAGGTCAACAGTACTCGGGGTTTATTATTATTATTATTATTATTATTATTATTATTATTATTTTTGCGGAACCAGGGATTGAACTGAGGCCCTTGCGCTTGCCAGGGAACCACTTACTCCACTTAGCTATCTCCCTGGCCCTAGTACTTGGTATTTTACTATCAAAATATATAAATGATTTTAGTCTTAACTGCTTTAATGCTAGTATTGATGTTAACAATTGACATACCTAAATAAAAGAACCCCCTCCTTTTGTCAAGGCTATTTTCCTAGAACTCTAATTAGTTGAAGAAGTTGTTCTTATTACCTGTAGAGTTGTAAGCATTATTGGTGGTTGGATTGTCTTATGTTATGCTTAAAGACAAGCTCAGGATGTGCTGGCTGTGCCTTTGTTTTATTCTTGTACAAGAGAATCACTAGTCTGCCTGCCAAGGGATCACAGTAGAGAGAAAATCAACGGTAGGAGTATGCGGTATTTTGAGAAGACGCCGATTCCCCAAATATGGAATGGACCAGGCAACTTGGTGAACAAATAAGCAAAGGACCCCCAAAAAAATTTCCCAAAAGAAGACTTACAACTGGACAGCAATCTGGGAAGGAATGCTGACCATCAGTGATCATCTGGGAAATTAACTTAAAACTGCAGTGAGAACATCTGACCCCGGTCAGAATGGCTGTTATCGAAAAGACAACAGATAAGTGTTGGAGAAAAAGGGACCCTGTGTGCCGTTGGCGGGGATCATAAACTATTACGACTGTGGAAAACAGTATGGAGGTTCCTCAGAATTGACAAATGGAGCCACAGGCTGGGGCAGGCCCACTTCTGGACTACTGGGCGTGTCCCTCACAGTGGCTGAGATGGGAAATCAGCCTGAGTGGTCAGCAGCAGGCTGGTGGATAGGGGGCGCGCCCCAGCAGCACACCGTCCTCATTGGTGGCAGCGCTGCGGGAGGACTTTCAGGGCCTGCACAGCCTCTAGAGCCTGGTGCCTCGGGTCATGCCCCCCAGCGCTCCAGGACCTCGCTGCCTACGGCGGGCCGTGCACAGACTAACTGCAGCTAGGGGCAAGGCAGCGTTTCTCTGCTCAGATTAATTTTTCTTTGAGATTTTATAGCACTTGTAAAATACTTCAAAATTGTAACATTAATGCTTGTATTCACACAAGCAGTAATTTAGTTTGTCTTCATAAACCCACAATTTGCTTTGTTGTCATTTAACAGAAGTGGATAAACAGTAACTTTCATAGAGACTTTACCCATTTGCCTTTGTGTGTCTTAAAATGTCAGGCTTCTAAATCACCATCATTTTAGCAGTTTGTTCAAAGAAAATTAAAACTTTGATGGAAGATGAGCTCAGGAGATTAGGACACTGATTCAGGTGTGCTTGGCATAGCAGTTCATTAGCTGTGTGTTAATTATGTCTGATTACTCCTGGAAAGCTGGAGTGGCTTCGTCATTTAGGTTGCTTCATTAAATCATTAATTTTCTTGGAGGTAACCAGGCCTGACATAATTAAGTCATCTCCGTCTCCACAGATTTTTATCTTCCCATGATGTGGAGAGCACTAAGTGACTTAAGGCACATGGTGCACTCCCTTTTTGTGTTGATTTAGACCTTAGCATTGTTTATACTAGCTTGACACGTCTGCTTACGTAACCTACGAATGAGTGTCTCACAATTGTTGACTTCCGGCAGCAGCAGCGCAGCGTTCTGCTCCTTTGTAGCAGCCCATTCATGTGTCTCAACCACTTCTCACCAACAGCCACTTGACCCACGGCTACTCGAAGCTGCTTGAGTTTATCAAGAAGATCATTTCTGAGGAAGGCGTTGATGGATCCAATCCCCAGGTATTGTGTTCCTTCAGAGCCTTTTCCAGCCTCGCGGAGAACGCTGCTTGCCCATCGCCTAGAGCAGCCCGGAAGTCAGAATGCGCAGCGAGGCAGTTGTGGGGCAGCTGGCGTCAGCAGGCGGGCCTGGCCCCCGGGCCTGTGACTCCTGGGGGGCTGTGGGTGCGGGGGTGCGCACGCGTACTAGCAGCGCTGCTCCTAAGTAGCTGTTTGTAGTGTCTGGGATTAACAAATAGCTGCATCTTAAAAATGGCTTTTAAGATTTGAAAGTCTCCGTGTAAATTTTTCGTGTTTCTGTCATTGAGGCCTTAATGTCAAATTACCTTACATGTAAGAATTTTCTTAAAATTTTATTTTATTATATAATGATTTCATTGCTTCACTGAATAAAAGATACATTTTTATTTGCTATGTTAAAACATTTTATAGCTTAACTCCTGTCTGTAGCTCCAATTTTAAATACTTTTTCCATTTCCCACTAATAAAGATGCTCTAGTTAGTTTAACTTAAACAAAATGAGGAAAATTTTATCCTGAGATATCATGACTTTTAAATTTATTCCTCGGTGATTTAATTGCATTTGCAACGGAGAGATCTGCACCATACTTGCATTATTTTAGCAGAAATGCTCCATGCCACCATTATTTTTATTGGCAAAGAAGTCCAAAATCTTTATTTTTGTCAACCTTAACTACTTTAGCTGTCCACTCAGAGACTCAGAGATTGTGAAATATTCACATCAACTTTACTGCTCTGCTTAACAGGTTCTCCGTGACAAAAATAATTTTTAAATTTGTCTTAAGGAACAGCCTTCTAGAGAGCTGGAAATACTCTGTGGGCGTGGTGCCGCAGGCGGCGGTGCGTGCTGTGCCGGCCTCTGGCTCTCGGCAGAAGGGTGTCCTGCCCGCTGCGCCTCCCCTCGCCCTTGCCAGGAGGCGAAGACAGTGGGTGCCCTGCCCTCCCTTCGCTGCCGGTGCTCGCCTGGAGAGGCAAATTGGTCCCTGACAGGCCTCTCCCAGCGCACGGTAGCCATGGAAACAGGCATGTCCTAACAGTTCCCGGCGCAGTTGCAGGACTGCTGCTCGCAGGATGGGAGCTCGTCTTCTGAGCATGACGTTACAAAACGCACGAAAGTAGAGACAATGGCGGAGGGCTGTGTACGGCGGCGCGCCGGTGCACCCGGAGTCCTGTCAGCGGGCTCGCACTGGCTAGACACTTTGTAGTCTTAATTGTTCTGCTGAACATGAAAAAAAGCACATTTTCAAGAAACAGTACATTTTTCATGAAAATCAGTAAATAGAAAGTGCGCTGGCCTGATTTTCTGCACAGCTGATGGCTGTAAAGATTGAGCAGGATTGAGGTGGCATTTCTGTGGTGAGCACCAAGATGTGTTTTTGGTATCAGAAGTCAAATGGCTGACTTTTTAAAATTAAGATAAACCAATAGGTTATTATAAAAATATACTTCCCATTTTGCTACAAATAAATATACTTAATTTCCATATCGTGAAATTATAGATTGTATTGTTTTCTGAATTACTGAGTCTGTGTATCAGGTTCAGAAACTTCAGATGAATTTGCAAAGGTGTAAAAGCATTTATTGAGTCATGTGTTGTGGTGCACCCCTGTAATCCCAGTACTTAGGAGGCTGAGGCAAGAGGATTATTGTGAGTTTGAGACCAGCCTGGACTATGAAGTGAGCTCCAGGCCAGCCTGAGCTGTATAGTGAGACCTTGTCTCAAAAAAAAAAAAAAAAAAAAAGCATTTATTGAGCATTCCTTTAAAAAGTATATTCCCAAATTTAAATTATGTCAGCACAGAAATAAGTCCTACTTTTTTTCCCATAATTTTATTGAGAAACAAATAGCAATGAGACAGTTTCAAATCAAATTGGTAGGACAGTTTCAATAATTAATACATTGCATACTCTCTTCCTAGTGGTTATTTGCTGTACGAGATGAAATCCTACTTTTTAAAGGGGAAAATTTTTCTAATTTTATCTATTACTGCAATTCCAAATAGACCTAACTAACTGGAGACAGCAAATACAAATACACTCTATGGAGCAGAATATCCTAACCCACCTTGTAATCTGATTCCGCAGTCTACTGTGTAGTGCAGCTCATCTCTAGTGGAGCCACGCATAGCATCCCTTGTTTTTAAGTTGGGCTTTCCAATATCTAAGGAGTACCGTACAGTAAAAATAAATTTAAACACTGATTTTACTTGCAACACTAGATTAAATATGTTAGATATTTGTAAGGAAAAATTATGTGTTGTGCACCTGTTAGCAGATTTTCCAAACCTATTGCCGCTGCCAGACAGCATAGCAGGGGAATTGGATGTCCCGAGTGAGGCAGAGGCTGTGGCTCGGCCGTTGCTTTCCACTTACTGCCTTGCTTTTAAACCTCTTAGCTAAGTGTGTGGTGCTGAGCATTAAGCTCCCTTGTGCACAGCCTGCTGCACGCCTCTTGGCGCGAATGTCCTCCCACTCATTCTTGCTGACTCCAGACTTTCACTCTTGCTGTCCGAGCATGTTAGCACCCCTGAACTTCTGCCCCTCTTCTGGTCCCACATGTGGCAGCACTCTGCTGCAGGCTTAGTGCAGGCGCTTTCTGCATGACGGCAGGCCACGGGGACCAAGGGCTGCGGTGACACTGCCCATCCATAGTTCCCAGAGAGCAGACCGGAGCCACGGCGCTGCTGCCCATCAGCTTAGGATTTTATTCTCGCATGTGGCTGTTTTGTGGGGCGGCGGGGCTCTGTCTCTTTCCCAGGTTGCTCTTGCTGTGAGGCACCAATCTTAAGTTGGTCAACAAGAGAGAACAAGCTCAGAAATGACAAAATGTCATGTTTGCAGTTTTACTTAAATTTTGAAGTTCTGAGTAATAAACAAAACTAAGTTTGCTCACATCCTTTATAGAAACCTTGCACAGAATTGCTGGGGCCGAACCCGTCCTTCCAGCATACACCTTAGTGCGTCTGCTTGCTTCATTTTACTCAAGTAATGCAGAAATGAAAACAAGACAGTGTTCGTGGGTGGTCAAGACCCCAGCACGGAGCTTGTCGACCCCAACTGCAGCAGTATCCAAGGGGCAGGGACCAGCCTTCTGACTGCCTTGCTGGGGTCAGGAAGTTCTGTCCAGTGTGCTTGCAAAGTTCCCTTTTTATTATCTCACATTTATAGTCTGTTGAGGCCTCTGTGTCCCTCCACAGAGTCAAAGAATTGTGTGGAATTAAAGAGCAACGTTTATTCTATCCTTTTAACTTTATAGGTGAGAAAACTGTGGCTTCAGGAATGGGAAGTTGGCCTCTGCTCCACGTGCAGCCACCTGCACATTGACAGTCCACAAAAACATGCTCCTCTCTCCTCAGCATGGACCTTTCTTCCCTGGTCCTGGTTCCCTAGACAGCACAGTGTGGCCCTGCTCACTAGCAGTTGTATCATATCGGCTACGCGGCCTTCGCCCCAGAGCTGGGCTGAAGCATGCGAGGGTGGGCCTAGGTGGTCTGTGTGGATTCTGAGTCTTGCACAAGTACAGGACCCTCATGTCCACCAACTCGGTATCTCGAAGTCACTCCTCTGGGTCCCAGAGGAGCCGAAGTGCGGTGCCAGGCTTGCATGTCCAGCTGGTTATGCCGCCCACGCTGTAGGGCTCTGTTACCCATCTTACTTAAACACTGCCCCATGGGTTTTCCTCTTCTAGCATTGGAGTGTTTTATTCATTCTTCTTTCTTCTACTTGTCAATAAATTCTGCTTGAAAAAAACATACAAACTCAGTTTTCCTGTGTAGCATCGGGCATGATACATTATGGTGGAGCATAGCTACCTACTGGTGTCATCAGTGCCGCTGAACAGCCGCTGCAGGTGGCTGTGCCGGGGTCTGGTTTCAGCAGAAAGCACGTTTCCAGCAGCATATGGCTTTAACAAGGAACATCTTTTTTCCCAATAGAATTGTTGTAATGATTTTCCATATAGTCACATGTGCCAGTTTTTGTTAACACCACTTTCTTTTGCCCAGAAATTTTGCTAGATTGCTAAGGAAAGTATTTGCAAAACATTTGTTCAGTTAGAATAACTGTAAAATGTACTATGAACAAATGAGTTGGCAAACACCTATTGACAGTCATCCTAGCTTTTTTTGATGATTTTAATTATTGGTCGCTATTATTATGACCTTATTTTTAGTAGCTCAAGTTCTCACTACCTGCCTGTTAGACTTTATTTAAACATGTGAAATTTAAAATATTATAAAAATAGCTTCAAATGGAAAAACTAGAGGCAAGGGGAAAATGTAAAACTGAAAAGTTTCACTTTGTTAACTTTCAAACAAAGGAGCAGGCGCAGATTGGGATAATTTAAATGAGAAATAGTGAGGAATTTATAGTTTGTTGAAAAACTGTAATTCTAAGAATGGGTTTGTAAACATTTTAGTTTAGATTTACCTGTGATTTCTCATATATTGTTTTAACTTTCTCAAACATAATTCTTAAAAAATCACTGTTAAAATTTAGAGACAATTTAAAACTTGAGACATACTCTTCAAATTTTCCAAACTTAAAAAAAAAATTAGTTATTATATCAAGTAATTAATTTAGAGACGGAGTCTGAAGTGTTGCCAGGTTGTCCATAGCCTCCTGGGCTCTTCTGGCCTTGGTCTCCTGAGTATATGGGACTCCAGGCAAGCTCCTGTGTCTGTTACAGTTTGTGCTCTTGCAACCTAAAAGACTGCCTGCAGGCTACCTTGGTACTGTTACTACACATTTTTTTTTTTTTTACATATCTACTGACATTGTCTTTCTGTTGTCATAAATAAAAATAAGAGCTAGCAGATAAAAGAGATCATCTTACTGATTAACAAAACCTTACATGTTTACCCTTCCAACTTCCTTTTAGAAAAAACAGAAAAATATCTTAAGAATAGGAATTCAGAGCCTCGGCTCCCCCTTATGGGGAGATGACGTGTGCTGCGCGGAAACCTGTGAACATAGTCACAGCCTCACCAAGTTCCTCTACGTTCTCCGTGGTCTCGTGCGAGCCTCGCTCTCGGCCTGCGTGGTCACAGTGCCAACACACCTGATCCAGGTAAGTGGCCGCTTTCCCTAGGAGAGAAAAGTGGTCTGACATGTCTTTGGTTGCTGCTGATGTTGGCTGTCTTTCAGGTATTTGTTCAACATTTTAATATTTTGCACATTTTTAGTTGTCCAGTTGTAAAATTTCTTATGTATTTTAGCTACACTTTGCCGTAATTTGCTTCTGGCCTATGACTTGCCTTTTCTTAATGGCGTATTTCTGGAGAACCAAAGTAATACATCTTGATGAGGCGGAATGCCTCTTTTTTAATGGCTATTTCTCTCCCTCCTGCAGTCGCACCAGCCTTTGGCCTCACCAAGATCTTTTTCTCATGTTTTTTCAAAAATTTATAGTCATATCCTTACTAATGATTCAGTATATTACTATTTGAATTTTTTACACAATTTAAATTCACGTTCTCAAATAGCTTGTGGTCAGTGAACGTGCTCGGCGCGCTTCCTGCTTTCCGTTCGCACGTCCGCTTTTGGTCACTGGCACTATTTATGGAGCTGCCTCAAACACGTGATTTCATGGACTTCAGTATCTCACACGAATGCTGCGGCCTTCGTGAAGGCAGGTCCGAAGTGACACAGGTCCCTCTGTGTTACCTCACAGTAACGATATAGTATTAGATGTGACAGAGCTTCTTAGCAGTCAGTACCTGGGCTTTTCCTCAGTGTTTGGTACCAGTGAATTTGAGGAATGTTGATTCTCACTTGGAAAACCATCTTAGATGCCCAATTCCTGGATCTACTTATGTGACTGTAATACCCTGCTTCTAACACACCCTAAGCCTACTTTCAAAGAAAATGTTTAAGACATCGTGTTGGGCCCAGGGAGATGGCTCAGTAGAATGAGTGATTGCCTGTCAAGTGCAAGGGCTGGAGTTCAATCCCTGGTTCCACCAAAAAACCAAAACCAAACCAACCAACCAACAAAAATGCACAAATAAAATAATTGTAAAAAACCCGTATTAATTATATATGATACCATGTATATTTCCATACTATGACGTGAAGTTAGGCCTAAGTGCAGTCTGACTCCTTGGCAGTAGAAGTCATTTCTATAAGTATTACACAAAAACTCCTTTCCTTTATCACTGTTGTACAAATACTTACGTTGTTTTTATTGCTAGAGAAGCTGTTATGAAGTTAATACTTTGATAATGCTTTAACACAGTGAGCTTCCTGATTTTGCTGAATCAGCCTAAAACAGATGTATCAGACATGGGGAAAATGCTGCCGCCCACAGTTGTGCTGTAAATAAGTGCACGGCTTTGCCGCTGCCAGGAGGCGCACACTGCAGGCCCAGACTGTGGCAGTGTCAGCCCTTCCATCCGGGGGGTTTACCTCTTGGCTCAGTGTCCCAGCCAGCACATGGCAAAGCCAGTGTTTTCCCTGACTCCAAACCTTCTGCCGTTGATGGCGTAGCTTCTGAAATCTTTACAGCAGTCCCACAACAGTGCGGAACATCACCTGTAGGCTGAGCCCCAATGGTTCTGCGGGTCACGTGCCTGGTGCTCACTGCAGGCTGGTGCTCAGACTTGGTCCGTGGGCCTCTCAGACTCAGGTCTGTTCCCCTCTGTCATGTGACTGCCTTACATGTTTGGAATTAGGCACCATCTGTGATGATGCTGGCCTGCCATTAGCAGGTTGTTCTTAGCTAACTTTGCTATGTAACTCGGTACTGCCAAAGAGAAACTCTCATCACATAAACTGACAAATTAAGCCATCTGAAAGCATAAATAGCAAGTTCCATTTCAGACAAGGGAGGAAATAAATGAATGTTTCCCTTTGCATACTTGTAAAGTAGAAAAAATATTTAAAAATATGTATATGTGGGCCGGGGAGATGGCTCAGTGGAATAAGCGCTTCCCTGGCAAGTGCAAGGGCCTGAGTTCAATCTCCGGTTCTGGAAAAAAAAAAAAAAAAAAAAAGTATATAAAAATTTTCAAATTTACTCTAAAAAACAAAATTCCTGTAATATAAATTAGTCAAAGTCCATACAAGTCCACAGATTAAAAGACTTACCAACCATGAAAATAATAATAATAATAATTTATTCTAAAGAAACCTGTACAAGAAAAAAAACGAAAAAAGAGAGGAAAAAAAAGAACACTTTGAGAATCCACTTTGTTGGTTCTCATTTCTGTGACTTGGAGAAGAGGTCACAGCCCTGCCACAGAGGTCGGGCAGTGCTCCTGCCAGTGGTGCTCAGGGTCATAGCAGTGCGCTGCCGGGGGACCCGGACGAGCCTGTCCCTCCACCTCTGGCTGTAACTGCTGCACAAGGAGGAGAACCAGGAGCTGGTCAGGAGGCCACAGCTTACCTTTGCTACTGTCCAAATACCTCTGACCTTTTGCAACTAGAAGTGTCAATTAAATTTGGACTTCTTAACATCAATAGAGAGGCTTCTTTGAAATGGATATAGCAACGCATGTCAGGCTGGGTAATGCCAGAGTGTGACCAAAAATCAAGACCTGATGTGTGGCATGTGTGTTTTATATCAAAACATTTAGGAGAAAGTGTAAAGCTTAACAGTTTTATCAAACTAGTCATGATGTAAGTGGGAGATAAAAGTCTTTAAGAATTTCTAAAGCCTGGCACAGATTATAGTCTAAGGAAAGAATAACAGTGATAACCAGGTGCTTGGAAGCCTGGTCTAGATCCGTGAATGTACCAAACCAGGAGACTGGATTTATTTAATTAAAATGTACATAGTGACCACCGCAGGCCAAGTGTTGGCCGGATCCCTTCCCAGTTATGAACCTGGCACTTACCTGATGGCGTTTGCTTGGTGCCTGTCCTGTGTCCCCGAGGCGCACACACAGTCACGCCAGTGGCTTTGGGGCTGCAGCGGCCCCTGTTGGTGCTGCACCCTTCACTGCCATGCTATGCTGCTCGTTCAACAGAGCTGCTAGGACAGGGTCTGTGGGGCAGACCAGGTTGAAGTGCATAGAGAGCCAGTGACGGGCTGGTGCCTCTACAGGTAGATATACTCTGCGGGTCGTTCTTCTGAGCTTTCTGCCTCTGCAGGGATGGGGCCAACACCCCAGTGCTGGCACGTTGGCCCCTGCACCCTTTGTGCCTTACACAGGCCTCCAGAACTGAGACCGAGCAGGGCCAGCCAGTGCTTACGCGAGAAGCAGCGTGACCCAAATGTGCAGGCCCAGCACTGCTTCAGGCCACACGCCTGCCTCTCTCCATGATTCTGGTTATAAAACTGAACTGAACAAGAACCACACCACATTGCCCCATAAGGTCAGCATGGACCTTAACCACTGAGTTTGCTTCAGTTCTTGTCTAATGCTGTCCGTACCCAGAATTGTGGAGAGAATCAAGTCCATGAACCCAGTTACCACTTTCATACAGTATAAGGATTTACAGATTAGGTTCACAAGGGCCACACACAGTGAGATGTGGACGAGTACAGGAGCACGCTCGAAGTCCAAAGGGTCCCGCACGGGCGTGGAGCTCAGGGCAGTGTCCTGTGCGAGTCAGTGTCCAGAGGCTGCAGGGTCTGCACTGGAGGCCAGGAGGTGAGGGCTGGCTCTCCTCCCAGGTGACAGAAGTCAGCCTCACTTGGACAGACCGAGGGCCCTACTGGTTGGTGCCACTCATACCCAGGGTGGTTCCCCTCAGGCACCCCCAGAACTACCCTGATCTTGATTTTGGTGGGCTTTCTTACTCATCTTGACACAATTAACTATCATAAAGAGATCAGCCTGCAGACTCTAAGGTGTGGATTCTGCCTGAGGGAGAGACGGAGGGAGGGATCTGGCTCTGTGGCGCTGACCATTCTCAGGGTCCTGGCTTCAGTCCCCAGTACAGAAGTGAGAATGAGAGAACTCTTCAGCGTCCTGCTTCATGATGAGGAGCATTAGCAGTCTTCTCACGGGGTGGCTGAGGAGACAGCAGGCGTAGATGACGCGAGGTGTCCATTCAGATCTTCACAGCATCGCCATTTGTAGCAAAACTCAACATTTGTAGAGAACAGTTTCCTTTCTGCCAAGACTGATACCAGCTCTAGAGACTACATAGTTAAATGGTGATCGAATGACTGAGTCGTTCCGCTTATGCCTTGGCCACCAGAGCCCAGGGGACACAGGGTTGAGCTTGACAGAGGCCCTGTCTGTGGAGCTCTCAGCAGTGTGAGAGCTGGGGGGAGGCAGAGAAGCTCCTTACGCAGGGTGGGCATGGCTCGTGGCAAGCAGGATCCAGAAACGCAGTGAGCATCCATAGGTAAGGGAGCGCTAGAGGAAAAGCCTCCGAGACATCTTCATCTCCGCCAGGGCCAGCCAGCCAATCATTGTCCTTCTTTTAGTTATTAGCATTCTGTCAGACATGTGCAGCAATGATTAGTTACCCTTTATTGTACTTCTGGCATGCTTCCCATGTTTATCTCATTGTAGGAAAGGAACACATAGTTAAGGAAATTGCAAAGAGAGGCAAAAGTTAAAATAGGGAAAATAATGACAGATTCAAAACTGATTTTGACTTACTGTTACAGTAAAACTTTTGCAAGTAGGGTGAACTAGAACAATTTTTAGATTTGAATCCCACATATTTTGTGTTCCGCCCTACAACTAAAATTTATTTACTTTGCATTAAAGATTATTTCCACGACAACAAAGGAAAAATGACAAGCATACTGTGAAGCAGATGTATAAAAATAAATTCTGAATATCTTAAGAAAGCACTGACATTATTGCCAGATGTCTGATGGATACCTTAAAACATATACAGTCCTACACAGCTTACCCTGCAAAGACACACTGGCCTTCCTGGCAGAGCCTCTGCAGAATGCAGTTCTCAGCTGGCGCTGAGAGGTGCGCAGCGCTGACGCCCAGACAGGCGCTGCCTCGGCGCTGCGGAGCCGCTGGCGCGCGAGCCCAGACTTCGTCCCGTCCCACCCTGCAGTGGCGGAAGGCATCGCCATCGCCATCGGCGGGGAGCCGGCCGGCCGCCGGCGCCGAGCCCTCGTCGTGCTGGTTCCCAGATCCCTGCTGGGCG